CATAGGTGTGCCCGCCGCTGTTTCGCCAGGCCCAAGGTGGAATACTGTTTGCAAAGACTGGAATTGGCGTGTTGAGGGTGGTTTGTGGATCACTCCCGTGGGGACTTTGAAACCAGGGTGGATGTCTTCTTCAAGCTTATACAAAGCTGCTGCTGCAGCATGGCTGGCTTTTATGTGGACGAAGGACACCAAAACGGAGGGTCCTTTACCTGAAGGTAAGTTGCCTGTGTTCCAATTCCAGGCCAATGTGGCGCATGATTTGAACTATTGTGGTCGCAGAGTCTTGACAGGTGCAGCAGTGGATGGGAGAGTTACTCAACGTTTGGAAGTCGACTTGCAGTGTGATTGTGGTTTGAGCTCTCCTGATCGTGAGCATTTCACTTTCTACTGCGAGGCAAATCCTTGGCATGGTGATCTCAAAACTCCAACTGAAAGGCGGTTGCTTGTTCCTCTTGTGGATGCTCCAGCTGTTCTTCCATTTGAAGATATGACGGCCGACCCCATTCTGGTGGCTTTTCTACAACAGTTTGACCCACATCAAACGCCGACTTTGGGCTTGGATGGAAGTTGCGCAATCGCTCCAGGGTGCGAACTTTGGCAGCGTGCCAGCTGGGCTGTGGCGGCACATCTCGGGCCCACGGTCAATGGGTTGGTGCATGGTTTCGAGCAAACTCCTGCTGCGGGCGAGAGAGGTGCACTTCTTCAAGCCTGCTTGGCTTCCCATGAAGCGAACAGAGCGGTGCGCTTGCTGATTGACAACCAAGCTCTTGTGCAACGTCTTCATCGTGGCATGCGGCTTGGTCAGTGGGGTGGAGATCTTTTTCCATACTGGCATTATATCAGGATGCTTTTGGTTGATGGCTCTTCTTGTGCTTGGATTCCCTCGCATAATAAAGTTCCTCGATGGCGCCCACCCGAAGGGTGGCTTGATGTTTTGCGTTGCCGCATGCTCAATGCCAAAGCGGATGCTAGCGCGGCTGATCTTACAGGTCAATTTCGGCAGGTGATTGCTACTTGTTTGTCACAACACAGAGAGGCAGTTGTTTGGGCTGGAGAAGCTTGGAAGGCGCAACTAAAGGGTTCTCTTCCCTACTGGCAAGTTTTGCTTGAACACGAACCACGTCAAAACAGGTCGTTTGAATGAGCGTTTGCTGCTTCTTCAGCTGCATGGGTGGTACTTTTCTTGGCTTGAACTTGCCCTCCGGTTTGTTCAGTGCAAAGAGCTCCGGCTCTGCGTTGGCAATTTCGGCGTCTTAACTACTTCACTTCGGTGAGGAGCAGGTTGACGTCCTCCTCCAATCCAATCCAAGAATATTCTACCAACTTCTGATGCATCCTTCAATCGTGCACAAAAACAATGAACTCTAAAACCGTCCAAAATGATCTATATAAAACCCTATATCACAGATCCCAGGCCTGAACATCTTATGATAAGACATGCTAGATTGCGTCAAAGTACCAGGTAGGACACGAGCTGCTCAACTGTTCTAAAGCTCATGCAGATCGGACAAACAGCTAAAGTTGGCAGCGGGGGGGAGAGGGGGAGAGTGAGAGAGACCAACCCAGGCGTAATGACCGGTGACAATTCGAAGCAGATTTATAGTGGGCAAGCCCTTGATTTTGCATGAAGACATCCGAGGCATTTCCTCTGGATACATGGCTCAGACTGATAGCTAAAGCTGCTAGCCAATTCTATGGAGGACCTAGCTCAGCCACACCTTCTGGGACAAATGCAGAAATCCCTGCAAATTATAAAAACCCAAAGAAGATGAAAGTTACGGAGAAAGAATGACTTGACGAAAATGAATGCGTAGCGGACGTAGCGATGTAGAAATACATAGAGTATGTCAGTACGTCCGGCCTTTTGATGGCGGCCCCAGAACTTCAGCATCACTGAATCCAGCAACCCTTGCACCACCGGTGCAGCAACGGCCTGGCAAGTCACATAGACATATCGTTGGTGGCACATCTACAGCCCAAAATGCTCCAAGTCCTTGAAATGCTCGAAATGCTCAAGAGGATTCCAACACTCAGAATGCTTGAGACGCAGTGGAAACCAAGGACTTCATCAAGTCGCGGCCTTCATTGAAACTTTGAACAAGCTGAAATGGTGGAAGAAGTCTTCCACCGACACGCCAAAACAAATGCCCATCCTGCAAGTCTTAGTCCACAAGAGCGGGGTCACTTGGGTCACTTATGTTGTCTGTCCACACCTGTCCACAATAAATTCTGGTCAAAAGGCCTGCACAAGTTGCTGGTCGGTGTTGATTCTAGCATCACCGGAGACAGCTGGGATAAATGTGACCTGCGACAGTCCGATTACTCAAACACCATACTATTCATACTCAAACAGCAGACTGATACTGTGGTCCGTCTTACAAGTTTGGAAAAGAGAAATGTCTGTCAAAGTTTAGCAAAGAACATGTCAGCCTCAGGATGCTTCGCCAGGTCGTGTGCAAGAGATGAACTTCCACACTTCTCAAATCCAGCAAGGACCTGCTGTTTGTGGAGTCAATCATTTCACGCGCATCAATTGACCTTTGCTGATCAGACTTTGCAGCCAATGCTGGACGAGTTGCAAAGTCTAGCTGAATCTGACTCCAATGCCCCATCTCCAGGAGAGATACGTGGGATCTGTTTATATGCTTTCGCAGGATCCAGGACGCCAAAACCTGCAAGCCACACAAAGCATGCTGGATCCATCCCGTGCTTTAACAAAGTGATGACTTGGTCAACAAGAATCTTCAGCAGGAATCACTGGAAACATTTTGCGGGAGTGACTGGTCACTCATTTTCATGGCCATTCAGCTTGGTAACTGATATTATATAGTATTATATTGTGTTGCTGAAAGAACTATATATGGTTGTTGATCAAAATTCCTTTATCCCGGAACGGCCATTCTTCGCGAATAAAAATTTTACTTTCGCGAAACTTTAGCGAACTCCATGTTTATCTTTCGCGGGGCCCATGTTGGCCAACAACACCTCTTATGAAGATTCGTTCACCACCTGCCAAATTACGCCAGAGAATCACGGATCACTTCTTGGTAGCCTTTTAAACATGCAGCTAGCATCACGGAATCCCTTCTCAGGACAGATTTTTTTTTGCAAAGTTTACTGGCCCACCCCCTTCAACATGCACTTTGACTTTCGCCCGCTCTTTCGCATAACTTTCGCGGAACTTTCGCGAAAATCCCTATTCACAGACCCCGGCCATCAGCAGGGGGTGCACTGAAGGAAAAGCGAAGACCAGGGGCCTTGGTGTTTGGCTCTCGCAAAGCCTCACTTTTGGAAACTTGGCTACTGCTACTCGCATTCTCTGGTGCCCTTCTCCTGCCGGACCCCGGGCGGCAGTGGGTGGCAGCCCTTTACATATAATGATTATAATACCCAACTTTCGCGAAACTTTCGCGAAATAAAATTTTACTTTCGCGAACTCGAAAAAAAACTTTCGCGAGGGTTTCCAACATAACATGCACGGCTTTCGCAATTAAAACTCCTTACAAGGACCTTTAGATCGATCACCATATGTGTATGGATTATTTTTCATGTTTGTTCAGCGTGACATAAACAAAGCAAGTCAAGTGTGCAAATGACTTGTACGCAAGGGCTGCGTAGAAGGAAGGAGGATATAACACGATGATAAACGATGTAAGGTCAGGAACTTGGTTGCTTGAGCATTGCAACAACATCCATTCAAATTCGGAACATCTGGCAATTTGGGTAACAGGTGCGACTGGTGCGAGTTTTCTGGCGGATAGACAAGGGACCATGTGATGAAAATTGCACAATATACACTTAAATGATAAATGTCAATGTACAGACAGTAGCTGACCAGTAAGATTTTAGGAACAAATATATCGGAAAATCAGCCATGCTAAGAAGCCGAAAATGCTGACTCTCTCTCAGAATGAGCCTTTCTTTGGTCACAAGATCGTGAAATGCAGAGAGCAAGTCCATTCGGCACTTCTGCTGATAGCACCTTTGAGTCAACGAACTTAAGGACTCTTGCAGAATGTGTATTGAAAGTGCAATACATTGCAATCACAACCTGCACCATGCCTCCCAAACGCTTCCGTTGGAGTGGTTGCAGCGCTGCCAAAACAATGAAATGGCCTGGAAAGCTGCAGAGGGCAATCCAGAGCAAATCTACAGTTGCTTCAACTAAGTAACTTTGACTAGATTTTTTGTCATGCCAGGGGCAAAGTTTTTCACCTGGGCTCATGCCCACTGTACTCCACTAACAGTAAACTTGTTCCGCTTGTTCCACTTGTTGCGCTTGTTCCACTTGTTCCACTTGTTCCTTGGAAATGAAGCCCAGAATCCTCGGAATCCTCCAGGCCTCAAGCAAACGCTCGCCCCGTGATTCCTCTGCATTCTCCAACGGCCTTGAGACCACAGCGAGCTCAAGCTCCAGCACAAAGGATACCACAGAAGCTTCTCTGGACTTCGCTTCATTGAGGCCATGACAAGTCTGCGGTATCAGGCAGTAACGTTGGCCGGTATTCCGAAAGCTTGCATCTAGCTGCTCCTCCGCATCTAGCACCATCTGAACATGACTCTGACCCCCTCTTCCAATTCCTGTGTGCGAAGAATCAGTTACAATGTGTCAAAAGCGGCTCAACTTGATCAGTTTTAAATAGTTTTAAAAATGCAATCACTTGCAGCTCAACAAGATCCATCTGCCTCCCTCTCGTTCTGCAAGAGCAGGGAAGGCCAGCAGGGCAAGGGGCCACCAGCAGTACCAGTAGCGCTGCATTCCATTGCATGATGAGAGGGTCACTGGGTACGACTACAAATTATGACCCATTACTTCCACTTTTCAGATAGTCATGCTGCAGTTGCTAGCATGCCTACTAGATAGTCATGGACCAGCTCTTGATTCCTAAGCTGACTTGAGCCTTGTGAATGGCTCAAAGAGAAGCAAAAGGCGAAGGAATCTTTCCATGACAAAGCATTGATATTGAGCAATGCTTGCTAAGCCGCAAAGCAATGCTGGCCTTTTGTACAGCTCATAGTCTTCCTTTGAATCAAAGTCAAGCTCCTGAATTTGCCAGTCCCGAAAATCAAGGTGAGATCTGGAGCAACAGAAGCTTATGACACAGTGTCGACGCAGGGTATGCCCAAGTCTATACAGTATTCAAAAATTGCTTTCACCTCTAACGAATTCTAAGGATTAACCAATTCTTGTCAAAATTCCTTTCTGTCATGTTGAACAACTGGTCCAGATCGACAGCAGTGCCTCGGCCATCAACCTCGAATTGCACAAATGGAGACCTGGCACTAAGTAAGGCTTGAAGAAATTGAAGGATTGAAAAAGTTTGAGCAAAGAGAATTGCTAGGCTGCTAGGCCTTCCTCACAAAGCTGGTCCCAGTGAAAGGGTGCAACCACCAAGTTTTTCTCAGGACAAGGATGGCATGCCTGGCTTAGGTCTGGGGTGGATCCATGGCACGAAGCAGAGGCTGAAGAAAGCTGCCCGACAGATAGGCAAGGGAGGATAGGTGGTTAGGTACTGTAAGTTTTAAATGTGATGCCAAAGAGGTCCTGCAGTGCACAAATCCAGCCCAACTCAAAACAGACTCCGCAGGCATGCTGAGGTCTTATGATGCTTTAAGACTTTAAGAATGATACGAAGTTGCCAAAGGAGTCACTCAGTGTTCCCTGCATTGCACGTGGAGACTAGGATCAACCGAGGCAGACTTTTCCTCCCAGCGTGGCTTCTCCAAACCCAATCGAAGGCCTGGTGCGCATAGCTTTACAACTACCTACCCTCTGAGATTTCGGGCCTGCTGTTCAAGTCATGAGTACATGTAGATTCGAAGCCAACAGGTGGAACTGCCACAACAGACCCGTTCAAGCCATTCAAGCCGCTCAAGCCAAGTGATTGCTGCTTCATGGGCTCATGACCATCTGGAGAAGCATATAAAGCCAATACCAGTACCAATCCGCGTTTTCTTTGTCCCATGACATCTACTCTTGAAGCATATTGAAGCACAGCAGCCTCGCTCTGATCATCTCTGATCCTATATCGAACAGCATCTGCAAACTGACGAGGCTAATTTTGCCCAAGTTGAAACTTGAACTTTGTTCGCTTTGTTGGCAGTGCTGCCTCTTGGCCGATCTGCTCGTCAAACATGTCAAATATAGCAATAGATTCAAGGCAGCAGCCAACACGACGGAAACCAATCTGCACGTGAGGACAGTCAGCAACTAGACTCAGCCTGATTCCACCATTTGCACATGTCCACAATCAAGCCACACAAACAGCCTGAAGGTTGGAGTTGTTGTTCTTCAAAAAGTGATGTTTTTCTAACTGTGTATACGGTACATACAGTGTGTCGATACAGTGTAAAAATGAAATTGCCTCCTCAGGAAGGAACGATCATAACTGCGAGATGTTACGAGATGTTCATTGTGCCACTTTGGCATTCGTCAGTTGCCCTGCAACTCTGAGCCTAGCTGGCTTTCCCTTTTTCAAACCTTCCAGATGTGAATAGAGCCTCGTGATTCACATTAGTCGTTGGAACATGTTGGAACAAATGATTCCAGTAAATACATTCAAGGCCAGAACCAAGACTGGGAGTTCGGAGGCTGTCGCATTCTAAGGTAAGGTTCTGGAGCGGACAAATTCATATCATGCCCAGCCCCAACAGCAAGACATGTCTATTGAGCACCGCTGTACACAGCAAGCGCAGCGACACCCGTCTCCATTTCAAGGTTCAGACAAGCCCTTCTGACATCTTCTGACTAGTATCGAAAGCTTTAGTCAATTGTATTTGCTGGCCACACCACGCCATGCAACAACCGAATTCAAACGGGTGTCAACATTTCTGCTTGTTTTTTGTACATCTCCCCGAGTCTACTGTGAGACCCAGAAAGTGATTCTTGCTACACTCTGTTTCAGCTATGCTTGGTTCTAGGAGGCATTCTACAAGGAAATAAAGATCTATGGCTCTATACAACAATCTGCACCGCATCTTCCGTATAGCAAGAAACTATCCACTGAGCAACATTGCAGATGTTGGTGTTGCCCAGAAGCTGCTGGAAGCTGGCAGTAAAGGCGAACAGCAAAAGCTGAGACTTGGAGCAAGTGATTTGACATGGAATCTGAAATGCCATAGCAAGTGAAGGTTGATGAAGGTTGTAAAGGTTTGAATGCCATAGCAAGTGAACTTGAAATCTCGCCAGAAATTGGTATCTTGTGGTCTCGTGGTCTGTGAACACATAGTCTTGCTAGTCTCCTGCTAGATGGCATGCATTCAGGTGTACCTTGAGGTGCTCCTGGCGTCCAACCAAGCATGAGATTTTAACATTCGAAACAGCTTTCTAGGCAAGCAACTTGGAACAATTGTCATAGAACTTCCTGTACTTCGTGGCACACGAATCTGCACTTAACCTGCAGCTCTCCTGAAGTACTTGGTTCGAGTGTTGCAGCCTGCGCTGCACCTCCTGAGACTGCTCCAAAGCCTGCCTCAAAGATTGAACCTGCAATGGGAAACAACCGCAAACTTCAAAAGCTGCAAAGAACCAAAGTCATATGCAGCCATTTCAAATCAAAAATCAAAGAAAAACCAAAAAAAAATAAAAAATAATAATTATTACATAATCTAGTTGCAACGTTCTTGAGCACGTAGAACAATAGAATCTTGGCTGTGGTTGCACCTCACCAGAGCTACCTTCCAATCTGCGACAACGCTCCGCCAGGTGATGTACCTCAACTGCCACATTTCACGATATGTCAATATCTGACTTTTTTTGCATTCTCCCAATGTTCCGTATGTTCCTTTGAATTGCAACCGTAACATCACCTTGATCTGCGACTGAATCTTTCAGAAGAGATCGTGTCCAAGCAAAAAAAATGCCAGCTATAATGACTGCAGAGCAGTAGTAGAATTTGGAAAACCAAGCCGACCGAAACTGCAACATCGCCTTTTGACGAACTGTACCCAGAAGTGCTGCCAGCAGCCATGATATGACAAAGGTCAGGCTATGCATAGTTGCCGTAAGTTTTCGTATGGTTTTATATGTTGAGAGATGTTTCACAATGCTGAGGTGAAGGCAGCTCTTAGCAGTACCTTGAGATACAAATCAAAATGTCCACCATGAAAAAAAACTGAGGATCAACACCAAACTCATCCAAAATCTAGTGTACAAAATCAATCACAGATATCAGAGTTCATAATCAGATTGGTTTCCTTGCCTTGTTTGTATGTTGGAGTCGGGAGCACGTTGCCTGCAGCGAAGCAAATCACACGCCGCAAATAATAGATCACAAATCGCAATTTCCACAATAGAAGAGGGACAAGTCCAGGCAGCCTCAATCGTATTGGGCCGCATCTCTTCGCGTGTCTGTTCTGCCTCAAGTCAACCCACGTGCTTGTTCGGCACGACATGTATTCCGATCCTGCAAAACTTCGCAGTTGTATTGCACACCTGATCCAGTCTATCTCTGTTGCTTGTTTCCGCAAGGCTAGCGGCTAGCACTGCAGCACTCCAATCTCCAACAATCTCCAACTCATGCTAATTCATTACTCTTATATTAATATCAGGGTTTATCTCCATACGCGAAACTTCACAGCTTTTCAACGGACCCTGACCTCGCGAAGGGCTGCTGCACGAACCTCTGAACCGAAATCGGTCAGGGCGACCTCAAATTTGAGTCATTGTCCGCGGGTCTGGAATCGAAGGCAACATTAGATTATACAAGAATAAATAGAATAAGTATGATAATGACAAGTTCAGTGCAACACTTGTAGAACTAGGCAGGGTGTGCACAATGGACTTTGCATGCAGATGAAACTGATGAAACTTCAGCCGTAGCTTTAAATCTGCTGCCTGTTAATCTCCACTGATGCTGATGCTGATGCTGATGATGATGATGATGATGGTTATAACTATAAGTATAACTATAATGATAATGATAATGATAATGATAATGATAATGGTAATGGTAATGGTAATGGTAACGGTAATGATAATGATAATGATAATGATATGATTTTACAATGACAATGATAGTAATGTGACTGGTGTGAATGGTTTCTACGAATTATCTTGCCCCCTTGTAGATGCGAACAAATACTGATGTTTTGACACTTACAGACGGAAATTCAAGAACCCTCAGAATATGCAGCCATGTTGCACCACATCGCTGTACAGCCTGTCAAATGCTGCTAAGTGCTATGCACGGAATTTAAGCATTAAAATCTAGCAGCAGTTTGTGCACAATGATTTCAAGTTTCATGGTCTCTTGTCCCACAAGTGCATTTCTTGGCGAATGCGATTGCAAGTGGCTCGCAGCTACAACACCTTGCAGGAAGGTACAGGAATGTAAATGTAATTTTAACATGTTTTAACTACCTAAGAAATGAATGGAAATGAGAGATTTACAGTTGCATCCATGAATGGCCAACCTGCTCGACAGATGGGCAACCATGCAAAGACTTGACAAGGGCTTCCGCCCAACTGCGAACCATGGCCTTGGCTTTCGAATTGCAATTGGATAAATTGGCATTTCGCTCTCCACCCTTTGCACTTGCACATACGACATCCCTCAGCAGAATGCCTCCTTGCTGGGATCGGTAGATGATGCAGCCTCAGGCAGTCACAAATCGGGAACCTGGTCAATCAAGGTCACTAGACATTACTAGACTTTGTGTGATCTTCAAGCACATGTTCTGGTTTGAGATCACTGCTGAAGTGTTGGATCCTTCTATCATACAGCGCAACCGTTTGAGCGCAGGTTCATCCTGTTGAGGTTGCACAACGACAACAACTGGAAAATGTTTCGCGATGCAGATACACCAAGATTGTCAAGCAAAACAGCTGAAAGTCAAACCATAACGACATAGCAACTACAGTACTGGAGAAGTGATGAATGCACAGTCTATCGAGAATTCATGGGGGGTTCCTGCGAATCCACAGGTCGACGCAGTTCTGCTTCTTCAACAGCTGCAGCTGCTGCTTCTACAAAATCCGTGTCACAAGCAGAAGCCTTAGCAACTCAACAGTTGCGCCGGTCCGGCGACCACAAGCATGTCCTTTCCAGCAATTCATCAGTTTTGAAATGTCAAAAAAAATGAACGATTCTGATTTTTTTTTTCGAGGTTGTCACTTCTTGTACAACAACTTGGGAGGCCTCTTCCGGCCTCGGTATTTCACTCATTGTCTTTCAATTCAAAGTTCAATGTTGGTACAGTTCCATCCACCTCTTATCCCAAATGAGACACCGGCCCAACCATGGAAACATCGTGCAAACGGCTTCGTTTGAAAAGAGGTTCCAAAAGTTCCTGAATGTATGGTGCAAGTGGTTCACACGCAGAATCAAAGTTGCAAAATACCAACACGGCGGCAAGTGCCTCCGTCGTCACTGCGCGTTTGCAGCTTACCAACATCCTGAAATTCAACAACTCAAAGGCGGAAATGCTGATGAAATGCAAAAGGAAACGAAACAAATATCAACAGGCCCCTGCCTACCAACCTGGGCCTTGGCCCTTCAATAACACTACAAACCCAATCTTGAGCCAACAAACAAATTGTCATGATGTGCAAAGCATCTAGACATGAAAACATGACAATTTAAATTGCTGCCAGACCAGTCACCTGGAAAAAAATGTTAAAAAACAAATCATTGAATTTTTTTCTGTTGGCATCGTGACAGCTGATAGGACTTTGTATCGGTCCTGCCTCAGTTCACTTTTGAAGCCCACCATCGTGAAGATGGATGACGATTTTGCATTAATTAATCGAATTTGTCAATATGCAACTGGCTTACAGGCATGATGAACGACCTGGCGAGAGCTATGAGGCGTTGGACGGAATGCTTTCGCTTCATTGAAAACTCAGCAGCGGTGTCAAGTCGAACAGGGTCAGATGTATACATGGAAATGATACAGTTCCATCTGGCTGGCTTGACACGCTGTGTGAGAAGGTACAGAAGAGGCCCGCACATGCGAAGCCTGATTTCAATTGACTTTCCGGCCCCAGAAATGGAACCTGAAAGCGCACATGTGGTATCAGCTGTCTCCGTTCCCTGGTTCCAATGTGGCGATTTGCGATGCAGCACCACCCAGGCAACATTCACCAATCCTTCGCTACTCCGCGCTACTCCGCTACTCCGTGCTGTGTTTTAATTCAACTACCCAACGTAATTGACACGATATCGAAACGATGGCGGAGTAAGAAAGCCTTCAATACGTCACCTTGCCACATATTTTCCTAAGCAGATTCCTACTCCATCCCGTTTTAAATTTATAGTATTAATTAATAACGGGATTGACTGAAAAGATCATGATTCATGTTCTTTCTGGGCTGAAAACTTCGGTAGGAGTCTAGAGGGGCAAGGGGGGCCAACAAGGGGCAGTAAAGTATTCAATACAATCATTCAAATGGAAGCCGGCCACCTGCGCGAAAACCCACAAACTCCTCAACAGCAAGAAACACTTCAAGCAATCACCTAAGGGCTGCAAAAGGCTGATGTGCCTTCTTTTAGCGGCAAACAATCAAACCACCAGACGCAACGAAATAATAAGAAGCTAACTTCAAGTGGGTTCAAGAAGCAACCGATATGCACCACGCTTGCCCTAACAAGAAACAAAATCATCTACAAAACTGCTTGCTCCGACGGACCGAAGTTTGAGAACGTTTGAGTGTCACTGCGTTTTACTCTGCACGAAGATCTTGACCCACTCTTCGAATCTGAGCTGTCTCAGAGTTGTCATCTTGACAAGGTGAAGTCTTGGCCATGCGAATGATACAGGCAGCCGAATCCGCTGCTGCAGCAGCGCAAGCTGCAACTCAGGCTGTGGCAGCGGTAATTCCTGTCACTGCAGCGGACGTCCATACGTGTCGCATTAGCCTCGCCTTTACCTTCCTCTATGCGTCCTAGAAGACGGCCAAAGGATGATTGGGTCAGCGGGCTCAGGTCACAGATTTGATCAGCTGGTGCCTTTGCAGCAACGTTCTCCTTCGTAAACACCACTGCAGAGAAATCTTCAAGTTCACAGCTGAGGGCAATGAGTAGGATTGCGAGGGACCTGTGGATGCAGTTCGGCAGCTTTTTCGAACATGCCAACCTTCCTCAAGGAATCATTCTTTGGGTCTTCTCCATGTGATAATGCAGTGGCCGAGCTTTGACATGAAAAGTGCATTGCTTCCCCAGGTGCTCAAACTTGAAGATTCATTCAGAGAATATGAGACGATTGCATCCCCTCTTCCTGAGGAAATACGCTTTGCAGTCCTCATGAAGGTGCTGGGTGGTCAGTTGAAGACCTATTTGCAGGTCACTCTGAAGGATGGTACAAGTTATGAAGATCTCAGAGAATCAGCTCTTCGCTATGATCAATCCACAATACGATGGACGCAGTCGATGGCGTTGGTCAGTTCAGTGGGCATTTCAGGGGACACTGCAGTTCCTATGGATGTGGACAGAGTGGAGAAAGAAAAAGGCAAGAAGGGCAAGAGCAAAGGTGGCCCTAAAGGCAAGGACAAAGGTAAAGGTGATCAGAAAGGTAAGGCTTCTGGAAAGAAAGGTGCAGACAGTGGCAAAGGCTATGGCAATCAGCAGTCTTGGGGTTGGACAAACCTCGTGGCAGAACAGCTCATAGAATGCAGCTGGTGACAACAGTGGCAAAGGTGGCAAGTCTGGCAAGTGTGAAAAAGGCAAAGATGGGAGCAAACGCAAAGATTTTACGTGCCACAAGTACGGAAAACCAGGTCACTTTGCAAGAGATTGCAGGGTGCGCGCTGTTGGACAAGATGAGAACTCAGCAGGGCAAACTGGTGATAAATCCAATGCAGGAAACAAAACAACAAGTGGCAATGTGAATCGAGTGAGTTTTGCAACATCGATGCCGTCAAGTTCCAATTTTCGACAGCTGGATGATTTGTCAACTATGGATGATTTGAACAGTTTTTCCACGTCACATGTCAACATGATTTCAACACATCATACAAACCCAAACCCTCTATTCAACACTGTGAACCATTTTTCAACGACGTTTTCTGGAGAGACAGTTTTTGAAGAAGGACTGGAAGAGTTTTCAGAGAGCAGTGGAGGTGTTGCAGCAGCGTTGAACTGTTGCACAGATGAGTTCACAAAGGATTCAAATGGTTTGGACAGCAGTGCAGATGTCTTCACTTTGCAACCGTTGTTTCAGCATGATGATTTTGAACACTTTCGACAGCGTGTTTTCAGTGATTACAGCTTGCATTTGTACGATGTGTTTGACAGTGATTCAGGTGGTCGAGAACTCAATTGTTTTGGTGATGCATTTCAGTTGAAGACTTGTGCAAAACGTCTGAAACAAGATCCCAGTTTGGTTTGCAACTTGAGAGTGCGTGCAGTTTCAACTTGTAGGATCATGGATATCATCTTGGACTCAGGATCTGATGTCACGTTGATTCCAGCTCACATGGCAGGCCTTGGCACCCAGGTGACATCACAGCCAGAAACCTATTTACGTGATGCTCAGGGTCAACGCATATCCACACATGATGTCAGGGATGTGAACTTTGTTTTTCATGCAACAGATGGCAGTCTTGTAAATGTGAAAGAACGTGCATTCTTCAGTGATGCAATTGACAGCCCTCTGATCTCGTTTAGGAAACTTGTGAAGGCAGGCTGGGGTATTGAAACAAGTTGCAATGGAACTCCAATGCTTGCACATCCCAGTGGAGCGCGTGTTGAACTTGCGTTTCGAAACAACTCACTGACCATTTCAGGGACTGTAAGAGTTGTGCAACATGTCAGAAAGATTGGTGTGGACGTTCCTCGAAGCTGGCAGAGCCTCAGAAAAGGTTGGTATGAGACTGGAAACCTTCACATTTGCAGTTCAGGTGGTGCACATTTTGTTGATGCAACTACAGATTACCTTGTCACTGAATGGCCATACAGGACAACAGTTGGTTTTCATGACACGCGTGGATGGGAAGTCATAGAACTCTGTGAACGTCTTTTTCGCATGGAAAACCGTGCAGCAGCAATTCAAGGTAACTATCAAAAGTTGTTGACAATTCTCTCCAAGGATGTCATGAGCGTTGCAGACTTTGGCATGGTCATCTCAGACACAACAGATGTTGCATCTGGTTCTTCAGGTTCAAGTGGCGTGCAAGACGGGACAACTGGTACAACCTCGAGCGTGGAGCCTATGGAGGTTGTTGAAGTGCCAGTTCAAGCAGATGCGCAAGAGGGTTCAACTCATTTGCACATTCCTCAAACTATTGCAATCCAACCCAACATGTCGAGCGTGAAGATTGCTGGAGTTACAGTTGAAAGAGATTCTGCAATTTCTGTCTTGAAGGCTGCATGTGGATACCTTCAGGTGAATCAATCTGGAAGCAAACAGAAACTGTAGAATAGGATTTTGGCAACGTTGGACAAACAGGCAATCAATGCTGAGCGTGAACTTGCGTCTGTGGCCTTGGATAAAACAAAACGCAAAGCAGAATCAGTAGAAGTTGCTGTTCCTCCAACTGAACAGTCAGAGATTGATGCACACATGCTCACACACCTTCCTTGTGCTGCATGGTGTCCTGCATGTGTGATGGCAAAAGGAAGGCCAGACGTACACCAGTCAGACCCTTCTCGAGCTCAGCGCAGGGAGTTGCCAATCATTTCATGGGATTTTTGCTTTACTGGAAAGACTTGTGAACAGGTTGCAGAGGATTCACAACAGAGCAAGCTCACATGTTTGGTGTTACATGATTCTCATACGGTTCATTGCGTTCCAGTGCATCACAAAGGACAAACCAAGTACATGTGCCAGGAGATTTTACGGTTTATCGCATTCCTTGGACATGGGGAAGTGACAATACGTTGTGACCAGGAACATTCTGGTTCAGCGTGCGCGTCGCGTTCCGCAAGAGAAGTAACAAGACAAAGAGGAGACGAACAAGAGGCAGAGGAGAGAAGGAGCCAGAGGAGGTTGCAAACCAAGCAAGGATGGGAGGATTGGGAGGAAAGTCAAGGCAAAAAGAGGTAGGGGTCCCAAGCGCTGTGGCCATACTTGCAATAATGAACCAACGCATGACAGAATCAACTCAAAAGAGTCCCAACCACAAAATGGTGAAAGGGCGGGTGCAAACCTGGGCAGGAACGCACCGCTATACAAAAGGTGAAACAGAGAGAACGAAGGACCCTGAGTGGGTGATTTGGGTGAGTATGGGTTCAGGATCTGGGGTATGTTCAGTGATCTGAGCAGAGACAGGCAGCCTACCCTGAAAAGCCGCTTGTCCTGCTGGAGCTTTAGCCTGAGCAGTGGCAGCTACGCTCCTCAGTTCCGTTTTAGCAGCAGCGAACGTGTCCAGATCATCTGAGGTTGGTTTCTTCTTCAACGGTCGACTAGGAAAGTCAAGTAGCCTCCACTGGTCTTGGAGGGTCGTGTTCGAGAACCAT